CAGACAACCCCGTAACAATATGCGTTTTGTACTGCTGTTACACAGCACAAAACGCATAAAAAGGAGAAAACTACTGATCGAATTCGCAGTCTCATTTTTTGATAAAATTGTGCTTTCTACAGGAAAAGTGCTGTGAATTTCGTGAAAAATTATGTCAGCTAAAATCAGTAAGAATGCTGAACAAGGCGGAATGAGTGAGCCGCTAATACTAAGAAAATAAGTTTTTTTTTAGTTTTATGCAAAAACATTTTTGATTTTGTTATATAGGATTCTGAATCAAATTCGAAACTTCAAAAAATTTATTTCAACATTCACTGTAACTCACGCGCTGGCCTTCTTTAATAGCGTCGATATCTTCCATCACTTTCAATGCATGCTCTTGATTTTCCAAAAATTTCACAGCGCTTTCATAATCGCCTTTGCATATCATCACTATTCCATGCTCTGCAACTCATACACAAGATGACTGGTCATCATAGCTCGTAGGTATGAAACAAAAAACAGATACAATGTATGCGAATTAATGGACCGAAACATTCCTATTCAGGTTTTTTAATCCGATTTATCTTATTCACCTTCCTTTTATTCCTTTCTTTTTAACCCTTGCTTTTTACATAAACACACATCATCTAAAATTAAAATACAAGACGTCTCGAACAAGACAGACCAGAATCATTGCATTCGGCACCTCTTTATACCCAAATTACAGGTCCCATACCCAAATCAATAGAACCATAATAAATTCTCTCCTAATCATTCTTTAATGGTGCACTCATTTCGATAAATAATACCGCTGTTGCACATCTCCATGCTAAGGCAAAGGTGCATCTAATAGCAGTTGCTCCAGTGATTCACGATACGTTACCCAGCATACTTTCCTGTCTGCTTTCAGCTAATAACAATGCTGCTATTTTAGCAGTCCTAGCTAATGATAAGGTCAGACAAAATTCGGTAAGACTATCAGCGGGTAATTCGTTAATGGACCGCACAAATCACATGCATCCCACAAAGAAGCCGGTCACTGATCTGGAAAAGCTACTGCTCCCATTTACAGCACTATATGAAGGCAAAGTGCACTGCCAGTAGCACTATAGGCTATCACATCATCAATGAACTATCTGGAGCCACGTGCTACTACGACTGTGAGATCATTTCATATGATTTGAACACTTTTTTCTTGGATCGAATCCAACTGGCCAAACTACCAATCGTATACTCTTTTATTAAGAAATCAAGTGTCTTTATATGAACATTTTCCTCCTTGAGCGCAAGTTTTTGGCAGGACTTATGCAGAAAACGCTCCACAAAAAGATGTGAAATGCCCAAAAAAACACTCCAAGACCTGAAAGTCCTCTTTTTCTGTTGCAGAGAAGTATCTGAGGTACAGTTCTGTTCGTTGTAAAACATAACTCAGATACTGAGGCCCGTTTTAGGGAAATACGGAAGATGTTAACAATATTTCTCAAGCCCTTGAAGCCCTGCCCGCGCTTGATTTTCTGAATAAGAAAATAGCATTATTTTGTGACCTAAGTGACGCAACGATAATACAGAGCTGAAGAGAAGCAACGAATCGCACTAACCTTCGACAATATCGCAATACGCCTCAACTTGTACCACAATCACTGAGAGCTCTTGTGGAAGCATATGCAATACACGTTCCTTTTTGATATCAGGCGGGATGGACGGCGTTAAGCCCATCAATTCTTGCACCGGGCGAGCTGCCTAAATCAAATCCATTACTTTCTTTTGAACTGTGAGTAATGACGAAAAAAACCAATAAGTTACCAGTATGCCTTCAAAAGAAGCAAAATTGCAAGCAATCTTTTCGAAAATTTAGATATTAACAATTTTATAAATGTAGAGGAAATGTAAAGAAGAATGCAAACCCCAAGATCATAGTAGACGCAAAATTTCTGCGCAAACGGCGATACAGATTATTAATTAAGGGCTGTTGCAAGTGTTCGAGGTAACCAATATTTCAAAAACTAAAGAAGTTTCAAAAACATTCTGATTCAGGGTAACATTAAGACTGCTTCTGTCAAATTAAAATATTAGTAAATTTCCAGAAAACTTCACCAAATCTAGGAAATAACTTTGCTATCAGTCACATTTTGCTTTAAATGCTTTCAGCAATCTAAATTATAAACTTTTAAGAATCTTTCAACAAGAATTTAAGAAATTCAATAACTTCAGCAACAGCAGCAACTTCAGTAATAACAAAATTTTTAAGAGCAATTTCAATTTAAAACTTGTAATAAACTTTAAAACAAACCTCAATGATAGCTTCAATTTTTGGTTTCAGTGATTTCAGCCGATGTTCTTTCGTTGTTATGTCACTAATCAGCACGCTTTTACGTCCTTCGCGCTCCAACAATGTTCCAACAAGGCTACAAAATGATTATGCACAAAACTACTTACAACAACGCTAAGCGCTTCATTCACAGACATTCAGAACATCTGAATTCACGACAGCTAATTCTGGGGAAAAAAAGGGCTTAAAATCTGTTAAAAGAAGGACAAAAAGACAGATAATGAGAAAAGGCAAGCAGCACCACCCAGCTACTTCAAACTTGTCGATTAATACAAAAAAAAATATTTCTCACTGAGTAAGATTTTTTTGGTTCTAAAAAAGCCCATGAATTACATGCTACTGGATGTCAGCGTTTCAAAAAATCCCCGCTTTCGTCACAAAATTAGTAATGTCCATCTCTTTTTCTACAGTCTTTTCCATCTTTCAGGTGCTAACATTCTTAATCTCAATGCCAATCCAGGTTTTCAAAGTGGAAAATAACTTACTTTTTACGCTCCTGCATTTCCCAATTGAGTCGTGCCAAATGCTGTTGATGAGGATCCTTTCGAGTTACTTCTTCCTGCGAGATATTCGCTGGAGCATTCGCATAAAATTCCTCAAGT